AGCATGGCCCCTGCGCAAGGATGACACGCAAATTCGTGAAGCGTTCCAAATTTTTTTTTGGTTCTGACATCTCATCCAGTTGAGTTTGAAGTATGAATGATGGCTTGAAAGTTGATTCATAACTCCAACAACACAGAACACTGTATGTTTCTTAACATATATTATTCTGAGAGTGTTTAAATAAGTATAATCATAACATGTAGAAACATTTTAATAATATAAAATGCTTGGTCATACATAACATTCCGATTCATTACCATCCGTTATAGTCTTTCATACTCAGCTTCTACTTTCATTTTCTTGCAATTTTTTTCAATCGTTCAGCTTCATACGATAGATAGAGGAATAGTATGTATCATATCTATCGAGAGACTTTCACTTAACTTTCTTTTTCAAGTTCTATTTCGTAATTCAGACAATGGAGACTCCAACTTCGGAAGCACCCTATCAAGTGCCTCCTTACATGCATAGAATTGTAATTCATTTATTGAAGACAATTCTTCATCGGAATTATCCACCGTCTATAAGACTTCATTTTACCTTCATTCTATACAGGGTACATTACTACTTCTCACAGATTTACTCCCCCTTTTAAGTTCTTGAGAGATGTATGTGGTTGTCTACTGGGATTTGAACCTACCTTCAGATTCGGACCGGATAACCAGTGGATTTTGAGATTAAAAAACCATAGCCCATTTCGACGATTCATGTTATCATACGAGTTCACTTTTGTTGATAAAATCATATACACTCGTCTGTTAGAAAATGTTCCCATTGACTACGAATCTGATGAGCTTTTGTATCTTCTGGAACTTCTTCTGGACAACTGGCTGAACAGTGAATATGGCTTCGGATGTGAGCGCTGAATGTTAATAGTAGAGCACCACTTATTAGCATATGAACATATAAAAATGCTTTAATAATATTTTTGAACTATTTCATTTAATTGTTCCTATATTTTACAGCAAATGCTTCTAATAAATTATTATCTGTAAGATAGCTGGCTCCAAACTCAGAAAAATGTTTTCAACCCATACAGTATACGGATGAATGATAAGTCAGGATATTTCATATTGAACGAATCTTATTTGCTCATTGAAAAAGATGTAAATGTTCGAATGTTTATTATGGAAGTTTAAGTTATTAATATTCATTATTGTTATATTAGTATCCGGTGCCAGTTCTGGGAACGGGACAGTGAGAACAATCTCCTCGTTCACCTGTCTTTCCTCTTTCTCCAGCATCTCCTGGAAGTCCTCGCTGACCAACAACACCAATTTGACCTGGTATTCCTTTAGGACCAAGAGGACCTTGAAAAACGCCAATGATACTGTGCTACGACCATCATTATTGTTTACCTGGTATTCCTGGACGACCGTGTCTACCTACACTTCCTGGGTTACCTTGTTTACCAGCAGGTCCTGTGGTATTACCCCTTTAGTTGATAAACAACAAATGCTAACTAACCAGGTGGTCCAGGTGGACCGGATGGACTCTGTCTATCTACAACATTTCCATGTTCTCCTCGTCGGCCAGGCTGTCCAGATTGACCACTGGCTCCCTGAATCGGAATTTCATTCATTTCCTACTTGCAGTTGTCAACCTTTTGTCCTGGTGATCCTTGAGAACCTGGTTTTCCTTTCACACCAGGAGACCCTGTTTTACCTGGATAACCTTGAGGACCCTTGGTTCCTTTAGCACCAGCATTTCCTGGTTCACCTAAATCGAAACGTTTTCACTCATTTTTTCAGCTTCAGCGTTACCAATAGCAGCTGTTGGACACTCATAACATGGCTCTTTTGTTCTTTCGTTTCGAATAACTCTGCCATCTCTGCCGTTTGTACCATTTCTACCAGGTTGCCCATCTTGACCGTTTTTCCCATCAAATCCTCTTGGACCAGGAGCCCCAGCTTCGCCAATGCCGCAACCACAAGCTGTTTTGAATGAATGAAAAAAAGCTCGAAGTATGGTTTTTTACTTTGTTGAACTGCTTGAATATAGATTCCTTCAGAGTTTCCATTAGCTGACATCACCTGTCTCAACCTATTGGCTCCATAGCTTCCATAACTAGCTCTATAGCCATCATATGCGTTTCTTTTTCCAATTACCTACATAAATATATTGTTGAGGTTGTTTGAGAGAATAAGAACTCACATGTTCAGTGTTTCCGGAACTTCCTTTGCTCATTTGCTTGTAAAGAGATGAAGTTGAATACTAAGTATCAATATAATATGAGCATATAATTTCATCTTACTTTACAATAATCCAGCTTATGTTGCACTATACTGTTCATTTCCTGAACATGATAATAGGCAATTGGACCTATTATAATACAAAAGAAAGCTGCACCAATAGAGATGGAAACACCTTAAAACATATTATCAATAAACAGTTTTTGAATCATTTAAATGAAAACCTGCAATTGAGAGAAAGCGAACTCTCCGAACATGATTCTCATAATCCAGATCGACACCCATTCTTAATATAAAAATATATAAAAAAATCTTATTTATAATAAACATATAAATATATCAAATATAATTATAAAAATAATTTTATGAACAGTTTTCACTAGACATCTCAGCTACCTTTCACATTCTAAAATTCATTTTCATCTGTCCCACTTTTTAAGAAATAAACGCAAAATAAATCAAATGATGAAACAAAAAGAGCGTAAAAGATGATTAAGATTTTGAACCGTCAGATAAGATTCTCTCTGGGAATATTTGAAAGGAAAGACATCATCATGCAATCTCGAAATGCTTTTTATAGCTCATTGAGCTTTGATTATTGAACAACAATGAAAAGAGTTCATATAGTTAATCATGTATATATATATGTATATTAAACATATTTTTTTTTGTATATATTGTTTAGAAAGAAAAAAGAAATAAGAAGAAGAAGAAGAAGGATGCAAACAGCATGTAGAAGGAATGCGCAGCTGCTTTTCAAACAGACTTGAACTATGTCTGATTAGGGAATTGTCGAAAAATGCTTATCAGTTCTTCATCATTATCAAATGAAAGCTAAAGCAGTTAACAATGAATAGACGCTAAACAGGCTAAACTGGGATACTGAATAGAAAAAAACTGCGAAATGATCTCCGAGAAACAAAGAAAATACACCCCAAATGAATGTCCTCCACGATCTCATTTGCCTTAGGTCATTCTGCGAGTTCATCTGTTTCAAGATAAAACTTTTTATGATAAAACAGGATTTGAAGCTATTTCATCTATACCTATCAGCCATCTCGGCTATCTCAAATTCCCTTTTTTTTTCTTGTTTGATACAAAAAAAAAGGAAATTCGAGAGAAATATGAGGGGTGTGGTAGGGGGACAGGTGGTTTACAAACAGTTCATTAACAATATATAATTATACATATTTATATATATATATATATATTTGAATAATAAATAAAAATCTTTTCTTCATGAGATTCAGATACTTCTAAAGCCAGTTTTGAAGCTCAGATAATTAGAATAAATAAATGGAATCATGCATATATGATATAGTATTAACAGAGTTGACAACTTTTTGCACACTTCTTTGACATGTATGGTTTGAATAAGGCTTGTGTGCACATGCCGCTGTTAGCCCATTTCTCACACCATGTTCTGTAAGTAAGATTAAGTGATGATCTAGATGATTGAGTAGTTCATACCTGGCATCTTCACATTTAGTACTTTCACTCTTATCTGTTTCCTTCACAACTTTTTCGGTTGGACACTTATCACAACTCTTGGAGCAGTTTTCAGCCATGAACTTCTTGCTGAACTTGGAATCACAATGACCTGCGCGTGCGAGAAATTCGCAGTCTCTTCGTCTGTAATGATTATACGCTTGGTTATGAGGAAGCTTATGAAACTATAACGGAACCTATCAACACAATCTTCTTCAACAGGTTTTCCAGAATTTTCTTCAATTTCTTTCTTTATTGAAGAACCAGTACCAGTTTTGCCAGCAGTTAATGGCTTTTTAGCTGCTTTTGATAAAGTAGTAACGGTTTCTACTTCTTCTAAATCTATAAATATGATAAATTCAATGCTTGAAGTTCCTGTTACGTATATCATACTTGAACAATTATAAAGCTTGTTAATCTTATACAAATCGTTAGCGCTGAATCCCATTCGTTGCCCAATTTCAACATTAGCTTGTTTTGGTTCAATTGTTGGCTTACCATTCTTCAAAACATATTATCGTAAAAGGGACAAACTAATAATTGAATACTTACTTTACTAAATGCCGTTGGTGCATAGTGCATAACAGATTCATAATCATATTTTGTTCCTAAATGATCAATCATACTTAATGAGTACTTATCAAATTGATCTTGAAGTCCTGGTTCAACGTTATTCCAATTAATAACAATGTATTCATCTCTATCAGCTCTACCTTTAAACAACAAACATGCTCATCATCATTTGAATTTTCAATATACTTTGTTCATGAAAGAAGCCAACAGCATGCATAAGCTCATGAATGATAATTCCTTTTTGAATACAACCATCTCCAAGACTTACTGGCTGTTTACCACCTAATCACATATTTTTTATAGGATTTTCGAGAAATAATGATATATCAATACCGACACGTCCAACTAATGAGTAACATCCATCATCAGGTACTATGTGAATGTAATCTTGATCAGCGGCACTTTTAGGTGAAAACTGTATGCAAGTCTTCTTTTTGTATTCATCTAATGCTTCAGCTATTTTCGCACGACTGAATGTTATCAGATTAATTAGAAATTGAAAAGAGAAAAAAAAGGATTTGAATGATTCACATTACCTGAATGATGAGTATTGTGAACTAATTGTGTATGGAATTCGTCCTTCAGTCCATTTCAGGTATGCCTGTTTCACGGCGTTTCTTTGAACACCGGGAACGGTATTAAAGCGTATACCGGGATTATATGATCTCAAAGCACTGAATGTTCCCGCCGTATAGACTGTTGATTATTTGAAAATTAATGTGATCGTTTTAATGAGGATACGTACCAATATCTCCTTCAAATAGCTTGGGATTGTACATAGCCGTCATATTCTCTGGTTCATCCATAGATGGATAACTGTGTGTTCGAGCCATTGTAAAGTCATAATCTGTCAGAGTTGTCTCATAATCAGGAAGATTCTTATTAAAATACTGAAAAGACATAAAACATTTACATGATCATGAAGCTGAAGGATTACAATTGAATTCTGACAGAGTACTCCTTGTATGAGTAGTAGTAAGAAGCTAGAATAGCTAGAATATGTCATAATAGGTGAGAAAAGGATATCTGGAGCTCTTCTCAAGATGTTTCCAAGTAATTAAAATAATGAAATTGATGAGACAATTAGGGGGGCGGAGTGCTTCAATTGTCAATATAGTGTTTGCTCAATCCAGCTTCACACCGATAGATTGCTTTGATTGGGGTTAACAAGGTGGAGAGAGAGGGAGCTGGAGGAGCAGGAGGAAATTAAACAAATTCCAATTGATAATCCCGTTTTTCGATAGACAAAGAGAATGTATTTATAAATATATCCTTTTTTATTGTTATCTGGCTTTTCTATAAACAATCTCAAGATATCAAGAGATTGAGAGACAGAGGAAAAGAAAGTAAGAAGCGAGGTAGGGATTGGGGAGAAAGTAAGGAAGGATAAAGGCTATGGCATTAGGGATGAGCCAATTGAATGTTTCTTTCATTCAATAACTTTCAATTCAAAAATGCTATTCAAGGTAGCATTTCTGGATTTTTGCGTCTTATCTTTTTCCTTGTTCATGTATATGTTCCAGTTGGCATTGCGTGTTTTATTCAACCGAACCAAAACCTGTTTTTTGCATCTTTCAAACTTGAAGTGAGTTCGTTGCTTCTCTCACCTACACAGTGAGAACATAGAAGGATACTGTCCACTAGCAATTCTCAATGTATTGCAGAAGAGAGAGAGAAAGAGAGGAGAAAAACTTTTTTTGTTCCGCCTAATTGATGAATTTCAAAGCTTATTCTTCTCTTGAAAGCCACATGCGCTTGCTGACCTTCAAACAGATAGGTTTCAGAAAACGGATTAAAAAACGGAACGCCGGTTTTAGAATTGCTTGCTATAACCAGATTTCAATAAATGACTAGATATGTCAACTTTGGCCTTTCGGACTTCTATGTGTCAATTAGACAATGATCTCTTCTTTGTTTGTCGCCAAACCAATGCTAACAGCGTGAGACAAACATATCTATTTTCTCCTTTTCATTTATTCAAACAAATGAAAAATGAAATCTGTTTTTGAACGTTCACATATGGATGAGATACCTTGAAGATGTGTATGTGTCAAAGCTCCAGATGAGAAATAGAAATAGAAAAGAAAGGGATATGTCTGTATATGTGAATAGTTGTCCACTTTTCTTGTAATAACTGAAAGTACAATTATGAAGAACTAGAACTGGATGGATAGGATGGAGTCCAGTTGAACCATTAACTAAAATGGAAAGTAATTATAATGGAATTATGATGACTAGGTCAATACTTTATAATAAAGCATTCACATTCATTTCTTTCATTTGAAAATGGATAAAGCCATGTGAAGAATTGTTTTTTTCTTATTTTCTTATTCTTCTTCTTATTCTTTCTTCATCTTCTTCTATCTCAAACTTCTTTATATGAGATATAGAAGAAGAAGAATCATCTTCCATCATGCCGAACTGGTGGATAGGAGAAGATAAAGATCATTTTTGACACTAACGAACGATGTAGATAACCAACCTGAACATCAATATCAAGCTTTTTCATGGCTATTAATGACCATTTCGAAACATCTTTCCTATATATACATCAGAAAATATAGAAAAAAAATAGTTATTTAGATGATTAAAAGCTTGTTATCTCTTCATTTCAGCTTCATCATATCATGTTCATAACTCTTCTAATCAAGAGATAGAAATACAGTATCTTGAGATATATTGAAACTGTGTGTTTTCAATCATTCTCTAACTATTCATATAGATATAATGAAGTTAATCAATCTCTTAATAGAAGATACGTCTACATGATTCGATAGCAAACAGCCTGTTCGATTCGAGAGATAACAAGATTTTAGCTGCTTGACAGAAATAAAAGTTTCTAGCTTCGTGTTTTTAATGTTTCTCCACCATCTTTAAGCTTGCATCATCAGTCACATTCTACTCTATTAGCCATTTCTTTTAAGATTCTTATACAGATTATTCTATTTCCCTCTTACTCTCTTTCTCTCTCTCGCTTTCTTCCTCACATCAACCATCCTTCTCTTGTAACGACAACAGTACTCTTCAGTCCCCCCTCTCTACCTCTCATCACTCCATATACATATATAGATAGACAAAATAATAATATTATTATTTTAATTTCATATTTCATCACCGATAATTGCATGTGTTGGATAGAAAACCAATGTTAGCAACACATGCAATTGTATATTCATCCATTATATTGATGTTATCACGTATCTGTACCTCATTTACAACAAAAACAAATATTATTCTAACAGGTTAGCTATACACATTAACTATATCATATAATATAGTTATCATTCTAACTATTATAGATAATGAATTGGATGAATATGAAACATATCTACGTACAGAACTTGAGCGTGTACAGAATGAAAGGAAATTGAAACGATTCAAACGATCTATTGATTCAGATGCAACGGATAAGATTGAAAAGTATTTTTGTTGCAATTATTTCATTCATCATCTTTTTATTCAATGAGTTTACAGAACAGTATCATTTCTAACACGCATACTTCCCTTTCAATTGACGAAATCTATTCAAGAATCATACATATCCGATAATACGACGACCGAAAATGATGTTTTGATATCGACAACAGCTGAGTACATTGCAAGTACATCTACAACTGTTTCTTCAACAATACTTTCAAATCATTCTTCACACGAATCATTAACCACGGAAATAATTGAAGTAGCAACGACCACCTTATCTACTACAGTTGCTCATACAACTCTTGAACCAACAACAGAACTTGTATCATCTGGTACTTCAACAACTACAACACCCAGCATAACATCCTTTCACACAACTAATGCTGTTGAAACATCAACTATCGAAAATTCTCCATCAGATATTCAAATGATATCACCAATTACAACAATTGAGAGTAATGAGGATCCAACAATTGAATTGTTAGCTGATAATCAAACAATATCACGAAATGATTTAGAATTATCTAATATAACGACATTGGAAGAAGATATAGTATCACTAGCTACAGTAGTCAATGACGAGCAACTTCTTGATAACTCGACTGTTATTGAAGTGACGACAGACAGATCATTGTCAACAACATTGCCAATATCTCAAAAATCAATACAATCAACAACAAATCTCACTACAACAACAACAACACAATCATCCGATACCGTAACCTCATCACCATCATATGCAGCTGATGCTCAAGCAACAATACGATTTCGATCAAACATCATAACTAATGTAAGTCTCTTAATTTCTTTATCATATTGAAGTTTATAGTTTGAAATATATATTATTTGTATCTATCTTATCTTAATAATCTATTTTATTTGCTTTTTTTCTTTTATTTCATATCATCAGTTGATCAATTTAATTGTATGGAGATTGAGCATTGAATAGTGTTAACATACATCAATAGATATGATTATAGATAACTTCGGAAGTAAGCCAACACTGTCAGCAATATACTCAGCCACAACTTGTCGCTGAACTCAAACAGAAAGGTACATACAATCCAGATTTAATGGCATGGGATGCAATGGGTATATTACGATTCATTGATAAAACTGTTCATGATCAATATCAAGTAAGTTATTGATATATCTTAATAATATTATATACATATTGATAACCTTATCTAGAAAGAGGTTACTTCACCACGACAATTGGAAGAAATTGTTGAAAAGAATACAAAATCACTTAAAAGTCTGTTATCAGAATTGAATGTAACATGTACGGTGGCTGATGATTCTGTACGAGCACGTCTACGTCAATTATCATTGTAAGATATAATATATTCATATATTATATATAATATATATATATATAATTAAAGAAAACAATTTCGACGTTCAATCATATCACCATCATTACGTCGAACTAAGCGAATGAACAATGAAGATGTTTGGATGAGTCTTCTGAATGCCACATTGACAACTGATCATCGATTGAAAGATTACCAAACTGGTTCAGGCAAACAGCGTTTAATAGGTTTCTTCACATTAATATATTTATAATTTCTCATTTAATATAATTAATGAAAACTTGTTTAAAATACTTAATGCAGGTGAATCACATGCTGTTCCATTTGGATGTGACAAACGCGGAAGTGAAGAAGATGGCTATTTACGTCTTTGTGGTGCATGTCAGGTACTTGTAACTATATCATATAATATATATATATATATATAATATTATTTCCATTTTCAATATATGTATTATGTGTTTTGTAGACGATTCGTCATTTGCCAGATACATTCTTTCCTCCATTCATAAATGAAGTAACATGTGATACGGATAAGGCTTGCCTCTATTTCTATGATTATCGTATGTGATCTCTCAGCTTTAATCTTTATTATACATATAAATTAACTAATTTAAATATATTTTCTTATTTCAGCACATGGAAAATGTAGGCAAAGACATATGAATTTTTTTGTTTTACGAAATGTTGGAACAAAAGAATGTCAAATATGGAAAAAATATAATTTAAATGTCAGAGTATCATGTGAATGCTTTGTAGGTAAGAGATTATACAAATATGCTAACTATATATATATGATATCTTTACTATCATTATAGATGAAATGTCTTTTTTCTCTAAATATGTCTGAGCAGCAGCAGCAATGAAGAGATGAGAATACAGCCTACAAGCACTCCAGATAGCGGAATGAAGGAAAACTTGATAAAACACATTTCTATGTCACTACAATATCTACAATTGCTTTCTGGCCTCTTTCACTTTGATTCTCTCTCTTTCACCTCAAACACTCCTTTTTTTTCATTTTTTTTTTGAAAATTTTTCCTTCATTTCATATGATTCCCTTCTTCGCTTCATCTCTGTCTACTCTCTCTGTCTCTTCCTCTATCTCTCTTTCTCACTCTTAACTATATTAATTATAATATTTATTTATTTATTTATTTATATATATATATAGACATCTCCTTCTCCTTCTTCTTTGCATCGTTTTGTTCTGAATCTCAATAAGCATATTGTCATTTGCTGGATTTTGCTCAGGAATTTGCATAAGGCTGCGCGATTAGCTTTTTCTTTTAATTTTTCTTTTTTTCTTCGAACTCACATCCATTCAATCATTAAATAAACATGAATAACAATCAATCTTCTGTTTTCTTCCTGAATTTTTATATTTTTAAGAATAAAAATGATTATTGAGAGGTTATTAAGAACTCAAATCAAAGTTCGCGCGCTCTCTCTCTCACCCTCTCCCTCTTTATTTCCCTCTCTCTCTCTCTATATATATATATTTATGTATATAGATAGTGAGAATTTTTGTTCCTCTCTCTTCATAGATAGATTGATAGATGGGTTTCAGTAATGTTTTTGCATATTAGTCGAATTGTAATTGGTCCACTCTTATCAAACAAAATTTTTTTTGAAACGTTTTTATCTGTTTGGAGTTATTATCATTTCTTCCTTCAATTTCAGATAAACATCGTGTGTTTCTTAACGTCATACCATTTCTTAACTTTGTCATTTTTTTTTCTGGAAAAAAAAAGAAGAAGAAGATGAAATTCTTCATGCACAAGGTTTCATTCACAGGATGAAGAATAGAATTGAGATAAGGTTAAGACTGTAAAGTATCTCTCTCTCTCTCTCATTCTCTCTCTTTTGATTCTATTTCATAACTCTTTCATAATTGTTACTAACGATCTTTCATAACATCCGATGTCAGCCTTTTGCATTCACTTCAAACATCATAACGATGATCATGATCATCATCATCATCTTATAAGATACTATTATTATAAATGAAATCCTTATAAACAACTGAAAAAATGTAAAAACATCATTGAAAGTTGGTTAGAAAACTTTAAAATGTCAAATATGAACAAATCAATTGTTATTCCATTATGACAGTCTCTCGTAGAGAGAGAGAGAGAGAGATAGAGAGAGAGAGAGTGAAAGAGAAACAAAAAGACATATTCAGAATAACAACGAGTCACATAAAATCTTATTTACTTCCATCGTAAATATATTTTTCAAAAATTATTTTTTTTTTTTAATTTTCTTTTCTTTCCTTCCTTCTTCCATTTTTAATTTTTCTCTTTCATTTTCAAATACAAACGACTGTCTCCAAAAATACCTGCGAAAGACAATAGCTGCTGATTCTGATGCTTATCTTTTAACACTAAAAATATATTTTTTTTTTTGAATGAACGAGCTGCAGAGCTAGAGAAATAGAGAGAGAGTGCATAGAGAGTATGAGAGAATGAGGACTAGAGAGATAGAGAGAGAGAGGAAAAAGAGGAAGATTTTTTTGAATTTTCTTATTTATTTGTTTCTTTCGTCCCTCCCTATCTCTTCATATCTTTATTCTTACCGTTCTTCATTCCCTTACTCTCTCTCTCTCTCTCTTTCTCTCTCTCTATCTTTTTTTTTCTCTCCCTCTTTATCTATCTATTCCCTCTGATTGTTGAAATATTGTATTTGGAACACCTAATTGCTGACTATGGTCGTCAGTTGCTACTATTTGAATTGCCATTTATCAAAGATATCTCTGTGTATAATAACATATGGCTCATAGGTAATTTCTAAATGATCAAACATCATATCATTTCTTGGAATATCAAACGAATTTCATCGTATTTTGTGATAAATTTTGTATAAAAAAATCTTTTTTTTTTTTATTATTCCATTTTCATCTCGTTCTCTAACTCTCTTTATCTCTGTCTCTCTCTATCTTTCTCTCTCTTTATAATATGTTTCCATGTGTTACTCTGTCGTTTGTGCTATACGGCTATACAGAAGCATATTGAGCTATAACTATTCAATCTTTCATTTACTAAATGAAGGGGGAAGGTGGGGGTGTGGGAGATTGGAAGAAGGAAACTGTTGCAAACTCATTTCATCATTCTCATCATCATATGTTTTCTGCAAGTGCTTGAATATTCATATACACATATATATGTGATAGAACATGGATGGATCTCACTATCTCTCTATCTCTCTCTATCCTACTCTCTCGTTTTTCTCCATTTAGATATAATGAACTTGTGTGATGATGATTTAGTGATGAAAGCAATGACCAAAACCCTCTTATGATGAGATTAAGAGAGCGTATATGCTTTATAGCCATTTCTAGCCTTCTTAGCCTTTCATCTGAGTGATTTTTCAAATATTTCAAGCATTTTGTGTGTCAAAGTCAGTTGTGTCTCTCTATTATCTCTCTTTCTCTTTCTACATCCCTCCTTCTCTCTATATCTCTTCTTGATATTCAAATATTTCTGTTTTTCACTCATAATTGTTGTAGCCATCATTTTTTTATTTTCTTTTTTTCTTTTTTTTTCTTTTTTCTTGCTTGTACTATAGCACAAGAGCAGCGTTACCAAAATGTATGTAATTTCAATTTTTGCAGAAAAAAAAAGATAAAAAAAGAAAATTTGTAAAAGGAGAGAAGGGAGAGAATAGAATCTTTCTATAATTTCCAAATTACAAAACAGTCTTTGCTTGCTTCCGAATGAAATATATTTCCAAACGTCTTGAATGGTGCGCGCAGTCTTTTGTGTGATTCGAGAGACAGACTGTTATGACATCTGCTTTTTCGTCTCAGCATCATCTCTCTCTCTTTAATGTTGTCAATTAATGAATAGTTACACTCATCTGACCTCTTCAGACAATCATTTTTCTGAAAAAAACTGTCCAAAAAAAAAGCTTTTCTATTGAACCTCCTCTAACCACAAGCCCCCTCTCCGTTTCCAAAAAAGAAAGGAGAATTCATTGATCATTTGTTCATTAATGATTTTGTTCAAGCAAGCATATAACTCATCAGTGTCTGTTTAACAGCTTGTACTCACTCTTTTATTACTCTCTTTCTTCTCTCTCTCTCTATGAATATTCAAATGAAGAAGATACTGTCAGTTGTTCTCCGATTTATTTTGCTCAGTCTCTCTCTCTCTCTACTCACTCATCATATCTTTCATTCTTTCCTTTTTTGGGCAGAAGAAAAGCAGAAAAAGCAAAAAAAAAACGAAAATCATTTCCATTTCATAGATGTATAAGAAGGAGAGCGATTGTTCAGTTCATCTATTTGTCGCGCAAAAACTCTCATTCTTCATACTCACATACCATATACGCATTCGTAAATGAAGTTTAGATATGTCTTATCGTTCAATCAAAACTTATTTTTGTTTTCATCTCACATGAGAACGGCGACGCTTCTTCCATAAAAATCTCAGGGATATGTGACGATGTTTGAAGACATATCGTAAACCAGTGTAGTTAATGACGTCATATAAGGTGTTGATCAATGTTCACAAAATTAGTTAACAACCCTTTTTCATTTGCTAATTTCATTTCAAATTGAATAAAAGACAAAAAAATGGATTTTAATTGTTTCAAAATTTTCGAGAAAAAAAAAAAAAAACGAAAAGAAAAGACGCGCGAAGATAGGTAAAACAAGTAGGTTATCTTTCTCTAACTGTCTAACACTCTCTCATACTATCTATATCATTATGATGAACTCTCTTTCTCTCTATGCATTTATGTTATTTGAACTTATCATATACTATACTACTACTACTACTACTACTATTACATGTCTATCTATACATTATCATGTATTTATATAATTAACTAGATGTATATATATAGTTAAGGTTATTTATGAATAGCTAAATGACGTAACGTAGATGAACTTGCATGCACGATGAAAATCAGTTTTATTAGAAAATATACGGACTCTATCATACGTTTTTATATTGTCTTGTGAAAAGAAAACTGAAATGAAGTTCAAAAAAGAATTCTCATTGTGTGTATTGTGTGTGTTGATGTGTGTAAGATGTTGTATGTGATATGGGTGTGTGTGTGTGTATGTGTATGATATGCATGTGTGTAAGTGTCTGTCTGTTAATACAAAAGTATGTTCTTTGAACAATCACCGCCAACATTCTCTTTTATTTTTGAAATTAAAATAATTTATTTCAGTCTCAAACTGAGATGAAAATAAAAAATTTTTTTATTTTTTTGATTTTGAAATTAAAATGTATGAGTTCCTTTTCTCCTTTTCTCTATACTCTCTCAGCCTCCCACCTCCTCCACATCTATTCATATGAAGAGAGAGATAGATTGTATTATGATAGAGCTTATTGTTTCTCCTTTCATTCTTCATTTTTTTTTGTTTTTCTGATTCGTTCAATTGTAATAGCTCTCGTCTGCTTATAATTACCGACTAACTATATGACGTATAAGCTTCCATATGATAATTATATATAATTATACTTTTAAACTATCTTTTGCTTATTTGGAAGAAGGGCCAATTCTCTTTCCCTCTCTATACCCTTTCTATTCCCCCCTCCCTTCTTTCTCTCTCTCTCTCTCTCTCTATTTCATTTTTGTTATCCAATTGATCCATTTTCATTTTGATATTTTTCATTTTTTATATTCCAAGTTGTCATCTTCATCTATTTCTTTTCGTTTGATTCTATTCTGTTCTATCAAGTTTCGAAATAAGTTCAAACACTTACGTTTTCCTATCTCTTTCATGTCAAGTACTAATTGAATTCAAATGGAAGTAAGAGATATAAACATTTTGTGTTTTAAGTTTACTTCCACATTAGATCCTCTCTTAGTTTCAGAAATAAACAAAGTGCTTCT